TAAAGCCTTATTCTGATCCATGTGTATACTTCAAAAGATTTTGTGAGAATAACTTTATTATATTGTTGTTGTATGTGGATGACATGTTAATTATAGGAAAATATAAGGGGCTGATCGCAAAGTTGAAGAGAGATTTGTCCAAGTTATTTGATATGAAGGACTTGGGCCCAGCACAACAAATTCTAGAGGATGAAAATAGTCTGAGAGAGAACAAGTAGAAAGTTGTGGCTATCTCAGGAGAAGTACATTGAACGTGTACTAGAACGCTTCAACATGAAGAATGCTAAGCCAGTCAGCACACCTCTTGCTAGTCATCTAAATTTGAGCAAAAGGATGTGTCTTACAACAGAGGAGGAGAAAGGGAACATGGCTAGAGTTCTTTATTCTTCAGCATTCGGAAGCTTAATGTATGCAATGGCATGCACTAGACCTGATATTGCTCACGTAGTTGGTGTTGTCAGCAGGTTTCTTGAAAATCCTGGAAAGGAACATTGGGAAGCAGTCAAGTAGATACTCAGGTACCTAAGAGGTACCACAGGAGATTGTCTATGCTTTGGAGTATCGCATAGCTATACAGATGCTGATATGGCAGGTGACATTGATAATAGAAAATCCACTATTGGATATTTGTTTACATTTTCAAGGGGAGCTATATCATGGCAGTCGAGGTTGCAGAAGTGTGTCGTACTCTCTACAACTGAACCGGAGTATATTGCAACTACTGAAACTGGCAAAGAGATGGTATGGCTCAAACGGTTCCTTCAAGAGCTTATATTGCATCAGAAGGAGTATGTCGTCTATTGTGACAGTCAAAGTGCAATAGACCTGAGCAAAAATACCATGTATCATGCAAGGACGAAGCATATCGACGGGAGATATCATTAGATTCGAGAAAGGATAGAGGATGGGTCTATGCAGGTAAAGAAGATCCATACAAGTGAGAATCCTTCGGATATGCTGACCAAAGTGGTACCAAGAGACAAGTTTGAGCTATGCAAAGAGGTTGTCGGCATACACTCAAACTAGAACCTCCAGTGTTACCTCCTTCAGGTGAATGGGACTGGAGGGGGAGATTTGTGGGGTCCATCTCATAAATTAAGGAAGACAACTTTCTTCCTTTGTCTTCTTTTTCTAAAATGGCAGCCACCGTTGTTTTTGAATTGCTTAAAAGTCATCCTTTGAAAAAAAAATTCCTTTCTTTTGATGACATTTGTAGGGGTATAGAATCTCTATAAATATAGAGCTTCTGATCCATTTGAATTACATCAATAAAGAGAGAAAGAAAGAGTGAGGTTTCACAGATAGGGTATAAGAAAATAGTCTGTGAGAAAAATAGAGAGTGAGTGATATTGTAGTAAGGTGGGAATATCAAAAGAGGGTTATTTCTTTTAAGTGTTGTAGTGGTCTTTGGAGTATTTTACTCGGACCTACAAAGTATAAAATTCCTTACTATAGTGATATCAGTTGCTCCTCTCGGGGCCGTGGTTTTTTCCCTTATTAAAAGGGTTTTTTCCACGTAAAAATCTTGGTATCGATTTTACTCTTTTATTCTTGTTAATTACCGTATCTCAGTGCTACATTATTATTCCGTTTTTATTACCGTGAATATTATTTTTGTGGGAGTTTATTCCCAACATATCCACTCCGCCACCAATTGGCACTTGGACGTTGGCCTTCTAATCCCCTAATTACTAGGGATTATGAGGTAACTATCTCAATCAAATCATTTACCTTCCTTGTTCCAGGAGAAATCTATCTATCCTTGGTATACTTTTTATCGCCCGCGTCATCATTAAAACTGTGATTAGATGTTCAAACTTGGGAGTGAAAACACAAGTGTGGCACGTACCTTCATTCTTGAAAGGCTTTATTAATAATAGCGTCTTCACTTTCTTTGTAATGAAGAGGAAAGAAAACGTTGTATTTTATTGACTGCCTAGCTCATTGATTTTCAACGGTTAAGTTACACATCACCTTGAAAGGAGTTGGTCTTGAAATTTTGGGCTAGGTAAAATCATCCCTTATGGTGTTATATTTCTGTCATTTTCTGACTATAGGTTAACATCTGACCGGTAGTAGAGAAAATGGAGAAATGGAGAAGAAAATGAACAGATTATTTTGCAATATCTTTCTAAATTAAAACAAAAAGAACAAGATAAATCTCTTTATTTTCTCTATTAATCAAAGTAAACAACGGATCATATACGGAGAAACTTAACCAGAGTGAGTGAATCTCTGAGGGTTTAATTTCTTCATGATCCCTCATCTTGAAACAAGTGCTTTTGGCATTTCAGAACAAACGTTTCGATCACTACCTATCTATTAGGACATACCGATTTGAAATACATCGATCGTTCAATTTTCCGACCTTCACCATAAAATTCTTCACATTTATTTAGACTTTAACTTGTATACATATAACATATTACAATATAAAAGAATTTCTTGCACTAATATTATCACCTAAAAGATAATAAAAGTTATCTGCTAAAATAGAACATTAAAAAACTTTTTACAGTACCATTGTCAGTGTATGTAGGTCATTAAATTCCTCACGATGTGTGGGCCTTATGGCTGCTAGGGCAGGTGAAATGAAGTAGTTGATGTAAAGCAAATGAAAGAGAAATATGAGAGTAAGTTGGCTGTTGGATATATATTATAAATGCTATGAGAAACGACGAAAAAGAATACCATAAATCTGTTTGCTCCGAAGTAGTAATATAGTGGCTCCTCCTGTAGTAATAACTTGTACTTAATAAGTAGGCAGCAGTAACCCATACTTTTGCCATCATTTCCAGTACTTCACTTCTCACTCCCCAAACGAAACATTCATAACTCAGAATTTAAACGTCGTTAATCTGAATTAACAAGGCTAGTATTGATACTTTATTTATACTTTTTCTTTACATACACACACACATATATATATAGAGCGAGAGAGAAAGAGAGCTCGATTAAAGAGTACTGAGTTCTACCAAAATTACGAAGTCATTGTTGGATCATGTCTATGGCTTTACAAGACGCCCAAACTTCCAACTGGTACAGCAGCGACCTCAACTTAATCACCTCACACTTTTACAACCATGGCCTTTCAATTATTCTTTTCTTCTTCTTAATACTCCTTGTTGCCTTCTTTTTCTTCTATTTTGTTTCTAAATGTAGCTGCTTTTCCAGTGCAAGAATATCAAGTCCCGCACTGGTACCTGGGGATGCAGTTCTAGTCCAACTCAGTAAGGGGCTTGACGAAGAAACTATTCAAAAGCTGCCTGTTTTCTTATTTGGTGAGACATATTGTAAAGGTACTGTCAAAGAAAGTGAGTGCCCAATTTGTTTGGGGTTATTTAGAGATGGAGAAATGGTTAAGTTATTGCCGGATTGCCACCATACATATCATGCTGAATGTATAGATAAATGGCTCTCATCCCACTCAAATTGTCCTCTTTGCCGAGCTTTTCTCCATCTCAACTCTACTATAATTTCAGTAGTTACTGCATGAGTTGCACCAGGAACCAAGAATGAAGTGATAATCAAATGTATTGTAAATTCATTCTTTTTGTTGTTTGGTTTGCAAGTAATGTCCCAATTTGTAAAATCTGCTTATTAATTTGATGAAGAGTCAAGTTATATATGCTGACACTATAGTGAGATTTAACTGGTTATAGCAAGTTAGAAATTTGGCACTGTACTGAGATTTAATTTGTTATAGCAAGTTATTATACTCTATTCTCTAGGTTACCATATTATATTTACATGTTGTGGTAAGTTAATTTAACCTGATAGTATACAACTTCTTTATAATGTCAAACATAAACTCTTTCATAATGCATCAACACCAAGATTGGAAATTTTCACCATCAGTTAATGAAAACTGTTCTGTTTATTTTCTGTGCTTTTTGTCCTATTTTGTGTACAGCTAATTTTAGTCAGCCCCAAACCAAAATTAAAAATTACTTGCCACCACGTAGTATTCTTGTTTTGAGAATTCAGGATTAGAGCTCGACCAAATGACACATATATTGATTAAGAATGCAGCAACATGTCAATGCAGTCCGCACGGAATGCATGCTAATATACTTTGTTAACTTCCGGTAAGAACTGAGTTCCAAAAAATTAAAATAAAAAACTTCCGGTAAAAATTTATCCGCATAAGGTCTTTAACTTCCTGCTGCATGCACACCTCTTCATCTTTATTAGCTCGTTAAGAAAGAAATATTTGGAATGATGATGACTTGAGATGAGCTTAAATGGAGAAACTTAATTGCGAGGATCCATACAGTCAATCCCAACTTGTTTGAGATGAAAGTGTTGTTGGTGGTGTAGTTAACTAGACACGAAATTTAAAAATAAAACAAAGAGTTGAAACTTATGATGTTACACCTGCCATGAGATTTATGCAGTTATAAATAAAAGCATGTTATTAAGTATAAATAAAAAGTTTAAAGTTAAATTATTTTTAAATATATAAAGATGATGGAGTGTGTGTGTGTGTATATATATATGTTTGAATTGATTCCAAGAAAGTATAGGTCTTTTGAGACAACTGTGATTTTACGTCTATCTTTTCTCCTTTTAACACATTCGTTCACCATAATTTCAAACCTAGACTAATGCATATGGAGATTGATGCAAAACATCTCAAGTGAGTATTTAACAATGTATAAATTCAAATGATGAATTCAATAAACAAGCACTCAAAAATGAGACAAGGTAAAAAAAGTTTCGATTCCTATGACGAGCTTGCACCAAGACCCAAGAACCAATACATAAATGCATTTAAGTAAAAAACATAGAGAATTAGCAGAAACAGTGATAAATTGTGATGGGAATAGCCTGTCTTATTCTGTGACGATAAAAGGGTCCGAGTTGCCTGAGTTACCCGCTTCAGGGGTCCCATGTGTATTTGGAGGAGAGGAAAAGAGGTTTTAAAGTTTGTCATCTTCAATAATTGACCGTATTAAGAACCAGTTTAGTCCCAGTAAGCTGGATATGTCACAACTTTGGAGAGATTATTTGCTCGTGAAATCACAAAGAAAAGAGAAATAGGGGAACTGGAGAAGGCAGTAAGAAGAAGAAGAAGACGAAGATGAAGCCCTTCAAAATTATACACTTTAATGTCAGTCTCGTTGATATACAATTTTTGGTATCGATTACAATTTGAAGAATGAGGCAATTGCTGCAGCTATGAATTAGCAAGTCAAGTTGCAATGACCTACATCAGCTTGTATCTCTTCTCCTGCACTCCTGTAACCCCCATTTGTATCTCTATGATTGTGTGAAGTGGCGTCTGGAAGTTAAGAAGGAAAATGGTAAAACAAAATGACAGTTCCATTTTATACAAGATCAGGAAAGCAAATAGCATAGGTTTCTGCTTTAAGTTCGCTAAAATGAAGCATAAATGAACAAACTTTCCCCGATAGCAACTACATGCTTTAACCTTGTCTTCCAGCCACTATAATAAAATCAGGAGACCAGTCCAAGTTCAAAGCCATTTTCCCTATTAAATGATGAGTTGATAAAACCCTCAACTATCATTTAGCACCAACCGTTTCCACAACCTTGAAAAGATAACACCCCTAACACATGTTTTTTAATGTTCAACATCTAACCTGGGTGCATATTTTTCATACGAGATGCCTTAATGAACTTCTTTCAGCATCTCAAATATATCATGTACGTAAACAATATGTGCCAATCAGCAGGAATGGATATGCATTCCTGCTCAGAAAGAAAGAAGTTACCAGTATTTCAAGTAATTACCTCAATGTGTGGGACTTCTTTCAAAGGCCTATCAGCAAAATAAGCATACAAAGCCCTCAATACTGCCTACAAGAGAATTTAGAAAGAAAATATTTAAAGTCAAGCACATGCTCTATTGGTATGGCAGCAAGCTAATCTTCATGTATCACAGTATCGGCACATTTACCAACCTGGTGAGATACCACCACCACTGGTGCTCTCTGTCTTTCAAGCTCAATAATCACCGGCTCCAACCTGCGTGTTGAATGTTCATTAGAAGGATCAGAAATTTGCAGATACCTAGACTTAATTTATTGAAGGAACAAATCATACATTATAAACGCTTAAATAACAAACCTTTGTATGACATCAAGATAAGATTCACCTCTAGGGTATCTATACCTCAGCTTGTCCTTTTTGCGTGACCTGTATGCATAAACAAGTAACAAGCAATATTTGACAACTAACAAGTAATTGCGGTTTAAGATGAAAAAGAGAGCATTGTTCATGATCAGTAAGAGAGAATGGTGCAGACCAGCTTCATTCTTCTGACAAGTCAATGATGCACTATTTATAAAAGCATACAAAGAGGAAGAGTAAATCATAGGAAGTTAGAAGATAATGAAGCAGATGAGTGTGTTGATTCCATGGAGATGTTCTTACTCCATACATGAGTCTTTCAGATCAGTTGTTCCACAAATTACTCACAAACTAGGAAGGTGAGAATCGTGCTAATTACTTAATATTTGAATTTCTAGTCCTGAGACATCATGGAAGACCTTAGCTTACTACATTTCGAAGCAGTTTAATCCAGTTGCATTGCCTATACAGATAGATTCTGGCAAAATAAAAAACAAAGCAATGGGCCCAATCAATATCATGTTAAACTCGTTAAGTAGACACCAAACTAACTCTATGGTCAATTCCCTGTCATAGCAATATCACCTTTTGGTAACTGATGGGGCTTATTTCCCCTTTGGTATGTGTTAATAGTTTGCTGAATGTTTGTATAAACGTTATATAAAATTCTACTTGGTTAAAATCCTACTGTGTCACAGCCAGATGGATAAGTGTGCCTCACGAAAGGTAAAAGAAGAGTTATAGCATACTCATATTCTTCAGGCATATTTTTCTTTATTTCTTCATATGTCATTCCGTCACATACGCCAGCATTTATTTCATCAAGGGCTCGCCATTGTATCTGAAAAAGGAGTAAGGAAAGAGGAAGAACCATACTTCACCAAAGTCAAGATTAACAAAAGAAAACAAACAGTTCAACAAGCTAACCTTGGGAAACCCAGCAATTGGACTAGCTGTCAGAATTGTTCTTTGCAATGTGCTGGTCCATATCTAAGCCAAAGAAAATATAGGGTTTTTATACAACATTCTCTAGCATATATCTAACAATTTGTGCAGAATAAGCACTACCAGCTATCTTCAACTACAAATGCTTTATGCAGGGTCAGCACCACCTACTAAAAGTCTTAACAAACAACTAAGGAGCTAAAAATGCATTTTTCAAGGTTTATGGAGAAATGGGGGGAAAAAAAAGATTGAAACTTATGCTACTTCATGTGCATTATGTTCTTCAGAAAAAGCAAGCTTTTAATTCCTTGAAACCAAAAATTTTAAGATACTATAACATGGCACAATCCCAAAGATCAGCCGCAAGACTGCAACCATACAAAAAGTCAAAAGAAGATAGCACCTGAATCTATTTTATTATTTCTTTGATTTCTTTTTTGAGGAGAAACCAGGGCCTCTTTTGCGCAAACAGGAGTAACAAGCTTGAAATCACATTTTCCACAGAGGGATTCCTTATATCTTAAGATCGGTATAGAAGTTTGGCATCTGCCCCGCTAATTAGGAGTAACGCAGTTAAGGATAATACCAATTATTTAAATTTTGGAAGCAACATAAAATGGTACTTTCCATATGTTCGAAAATAGTTGGCAGCTTATGTTTTCATACACTTGCCTTCGTAATTTTCAGCTGCCCTTAATTCTGCTTCAAGTTTGTGTAAGCAATGATAGAAGTATAAATACTGCTTTGGATTCTTTTAGTTCAAAACTACATATGACATTTGCAACTACTGCTTTAGAATCTGGTGGAGGATCAACAAGATACCATTATATGGACAGGAAGCAGGGATGGTTATTTTTCTGTTAAATCTTGTTATGCAATTCTGCTTCAACAGGGTAATATTGCAGAAAATCAATGGCCTTGGAAGATGATTTGGAAAGTGAAAGTTCCAACAGAAGTCACATGTTTTGGATGGATTGCTAACCATGGTGCATGTTTAACTCACAACAAATCCACAAAGAAGAAGGTATTTGTTGCGCAACAGATGTTTTCTATGCGAAGATTCTCTAGAATATATTAATCATTTGTTGTTGCATTGCAATCAGAATTAGCAAATATGGGCTATGTTCCTGTGCCCTTTCGGAGTGAAATGGGTTATGCCAGGCACTCTGAAGCAATCTCTTAGCAGCAGTCAAGGGCAAGAAGATGGACAAGAAGAACATATTGCTGTAAATATATATAGATGTCTTCAACACTTGTAGTTTTGGATCAGGGGGATATTGTGAAGGAACTATCCCATCTATTGGACTTAATTGACACCTTAAGTCTAGAACAGGAATTGAATGTTCGTCCACCTCTGTATATATTCTGTACCTCCTCTGTATTAGAACATTAATAATATTACTTATCAAAAAGAAAGTTTGCTACTTTATCAGTTTATCTAACGAGTAGGAAGTTACAAATATCAGAGAGGGTTGTGCTCATGCTTCCTCTAGAGAGCTAATTTTCCCAGTTGAAAACATTGAGAAAAAGAAAAAAACAAAACATGCATGCTCGCCTTGGGGGAAAAGGCCAAAGGTTCCTGCTCCTGGCACAGTTTACTATCCATAGCAGGAAGTTTAAACTTTGTTTTTTTAAACTATTGAGATGCTTGGAACTGAGGTGTAGTCGATGTGGTTTTTTTATGATTGAGATGTAGTTACTCAGACAGACCCTGGAGTCTCAAGTTTCAGGTTGAGCAGGACTAAAACAGAATACTTGGAGAGCAAGTTCAGTGACATTACTCAGGAGGTAGACGTGGAAGTGAGACTGGATTCACAAGTCATCCCTAAGAGAGTTAGTTTCAAGTACCTTGGGTCTGTAATCCAAGGTTAATGGGGAGATCGACGATCATGTCACTCATCGTATTGGAGAGAGATGGATGAAATGGAAACTAGCATCCGGTGTCTTTTGTGATAAGAACGTGCCACCAAGATTTAAAGGTAAGTTCTACAAAGTGTTGGCTAGACCGACTATGTTGTATGGGACGGAGTGTTAGCCAGTCAAGAACTCTCATGTCCAAAGGATGAAAGTAGCGGATATGAAGATATTGAGATAGATGTGTGGACATACCGGGAGAGACATGGTCAGAAATGAAGATATTCGTGGACAAGATGCGGGAAGCGAAGTTGAGGTGGTTCAGGCTGGTGAAGAGGAGATGTCTGGATGCCCCATTGAGGAGGTGTGAGAGATTGTCGATGGTGGGTTTGAAGAGAGGTATAGGTAGGCTGAAAAAATATTGGGGAAAGGTAATTAGGCAGGACATGGCGCATCTTCAGCTTACGAGGACATGACCCTTGATAGAGGGTGTGGAGGGCGAGGATTAGGGTAGAAGGCTAGTAGGCAATTGAGCCTCTTTCCTTTCATTACAACTTTCATTACAGCAGTAGTAGTGTTATTCTAGTATTCTCATATTCTTAGAATTCTATTACTGCCTGACGTTGCTTGTGTTTTGGTTTTTCTACTATCTTTATTGCTTCCTTGACTTTTACAGTACTGTATTTCTTTTATATATTGTTGTGATTTTGTATACTTGCTTTGAGCCGAGGGTCTATCAGAAACAGCCTCTGCACAAGGGGTAAGGCTGCATACTCACTACCCTTCCCAGACTCCACTTGTGGGATTATACTGGATTTTTTTTGTTGTTGTTGTAGTCACTCAGAAAAAGTTCTCATCAGCAATTAGAGGAAGCTTTCTTCTTTAGCCAGAGAACAAAATAATACAGAACAGGTTTCAAAATGAAGAATTAGTTTTTCTGAATATGTTACCAGTAACAGAGCAAAAGGTCAAAAAAAACAGAAAGCTACGCTCTCAAGGTTGTACCCATCTCATTCAGTGGCTTCTAATGCTTTTCCAATCCTAATGCTTTCTCCTAAATGTATGAGTCACTTCTAATGCTTTCTCAATTGCTTTAAGCCTATCTTTTTCCCAGCCCTCCCTCAACTTACCTGCGATACCCCATACAGAAGCTGTAGGTCAATCCCCATTTTTCAATTTTAATAAAAGCACAAGTCAAAGTCAAAAACGAAAAGGAAAAGAAAAAAGTATACAATTGAATCATCAATAATGGAACTCACAGAAGCGGCCTTCTCATTTTTAAGTCGTTTTTCAACAAAATTGGCAAGCTTCTTCGCATAGAGCTCCCCGGCTTCACTGTCAGAGAAAAATTTCAATGTGTTATTCCTCAAAAACATATAGCATTTTCAAGGTGTTAAGAGGATAAAAACCTTATGGCAGTGTCACCCCCAATTCTGCCTCTAACATTGTATAGACTCTCTCCGTGCCTTGTTAGAAAAATTGGACGGGGTGTCAGATGTGTATTGACCTGCATATCATGTCAATCTGTTGGGCACTTCCAACAAAATTTAAGAGCAAATGAGAGAAGCAAATTAAACAAAAAGATGTCTAGATCAAGCCAATTGCCATCTTGCAATGACTGCTAGTGTGTGGCCAAATCTCTATCTTTCCTTCCTTACTTTTCTGGGATAAGTAGAGCGCCCATGACGTATATGAAGTTCACTCTTAGGCAAAATGTGAAGCCCCACCTTTCCCCACAGGAATGTGCCATATCTTCGTTATACATTCAAATGAAGAAAAGAACACCAGTAAAGAGGATACGGTCTGTACAGCATGGAAATTTTCCATTTACCAGTCTGTACCGGTAGTGAAATCAGACAGTAGCAAGAATACTGGCACTGCTGCCAAACTCTGAATTGTTAATCTCTCCTTTTCTCGAAACCACAAGAACAGATCCCGAGTCTTGAAGACTAAACTAAGGCAGCAACCATCTGTGGATGCGTCTTATCGCAGTCTTTGCTTCTTTTTCTTTTTTCTTTTTTTCCTTTTGTCCGTATTCCATGGAGAGGAAGGATACCAAAGAGGTTACAGGTGTTAAAAGAAATAAAAGCAATTCCTTCATGGCTAACAATTTTACTCAACAGGATTCAGGAGATGCCTCAAAGACACAGTAGTCTGTTGGAAGAGAAAAGAGACCACTTAGTAGGAGAGCAGTAACTTACCAAGAAGAAGACGATCCTCCCAGGAAGATACCCACTAATATTATTCACCTGCACAAATCAAACAGACCCTTTAAGGAGTGTGAAGCTGTATATATAATTTCTAGAGACTGATTTGGTAGGATTCTATTTCCTCCTTAGAATGTGAATTGAGTTGCACAGAAACTTAGTCTATAGTTGCAGGAAGTCTAGCTGCAATCTAATTAAAAGAAAGTAGAATTTTATATAAGTGCATGCATGCCTCTGGCATTATAGTAAAGCAGAGTAACTCAGATAAAACTAGAAGAATCTTGACAGAGGCACAAACTTCCATCAATTTTGGAAAGTAAGTCATTTACTTATATAAGCCTATCTCCATACTCTACTGGAAATGCAACTGACTATGAACTCAAAACAAGGCTAGCCAAAAAGATGGACAAATTTGCAAACTTCTGCACAGGCATATTAAGAAAGAATGAGAAAGTCCTATAGCCAGTTCTGAATTGCTCCAACCTCTCTTTTCTCTTTAATTAACTGAATAATCCACTGTCAATAGCTTTTGAATTTCTTACTGAAGCCAATCTAAGCATCGTCTGCTCCACAGATTACACCTTTTCTCCAGCTCCTAAAATTCGACCCATGTGAAAATGAAATTGGCATTCAAAATTCTATGTCAGCCTGTGAAAGCATCTAGAATAACTTTTAGAGTTTAGACAGTCCTTCCGACCGTCAAAAGATATATAGCTATCACAGAAGTTAAATGCGATGAACACCTGAAGAAGCCAGGGGACTTCATATTCCTTCACAAGATAGAACATATAGAAAATCAAATCACTAATCACAAAGTTTGCCAGATATGGTGAAGGAAGTTAAAACCCCTAGTTAAAAGAATCAAACCTAAGACCTAAAACCCTTCAGAGGCACAATCTACCACTTGAGCCAGCCTCACAGGTGGCCTGCTGTCACTGGAATTACTCAAAATCATCATGAAGAAATCAAGACAAATTTGTTTGACTAAAGTCCACCTTGGAATTAATTCCTTGGATGGAAAATGCAGTGTTTGCTACCAATGCTTGCATCACAAACTTTTTGAAGTGTCCTCCAATAAACAATGCATGAAATTTGTAAGTGTGAACTTCGTAAACAAATGAACTACGGTCACTTACTTGTATTTGTCCTCCATTACCACTGACCATATCAATCATTTTGATGTAAGAACCTTCCTCCACTGGCTCATAAACCTTAAAAAAATGATAACCATTACATAACACGATGTTAAGCATTCATAGCTGAATATAAAAATAACAACCATGATAAAGAATCACCTTTTCATAATTATCAAGGCGATTTTTGAAGTCTCTGTATCCAGCTTCAAAATCTGGCCTGTACAACAATGCCAACAATGTAAGTTTTTCTAACTAATATGAGAAACACCAAAAGATACAGCAAGTTATCATACTCTTCAGCATAGTCTGGGCTTTGTTGAACTTTCAGACGTATGTTTCTTTCAATTATTTTACGATCATTACAGATTGTTTCCAAGAAAATAATCTGCAAGTAAAGCATTACAGACATCAAGAAAGAGTACTAAGAGCAGATAAACTCAAGCTTCTGCATATGGATCCATCAAATCCACCAACAAGTATCACCATACGAAGTACATTTAATAAAAGGAATCTATTAAAAGAAATCTATTAAAAGAAAGTACTTAGATGAATTAAAGCGCTGAGATACATAAGCGAGCCAACAAGTCGGGGTAACTTCACAGTGCTGCAATTTTTGAAGTAATAAGAAACTAAAAACATAGCCTTGATGATCCGTATGTAATAGTCCTTTGTGAATTTCAATACTCTTTCGACAGACAAAGAATTGATAGTTTCAACCTAGAATTCAGAAACATGCAACTGCCCAAAGAGAAATAAGGGCATGTTCACTTCATCACTTTGAGGACTTCTATGTTATCTCCACCTCTCCCCTCCCACCCATGGAAACAAGATAAGGTATAGTATTAGCTGACAAATATTATTTGCTAGTAATCCAGTACTTGCATTTCCATAGGCGTGAATTAAACACATCCTACAGTTCTTTCTTTCTTTTTAAGTTGATAACCAAGAAATCACAGAGGCTCGTGGCGCATGGTAAGAAACTTGGTGGATAATGGGTCCGCCCCTCTACACTTAAATACCAGGCTTTTGTAGCATGCACTGGTAATCGAACCCATGACGTGCGCCTCACCCACTCATCACATGTTGCATTCTTACCACTGGACCAAAGCTTGAGAAATACATCTTACAGTTCTATTAAAGGAAACTAAGAGCAGTAATATTACATGTCCATTAATGAGACTTCACCTTGCATTTTCCCTCAGCCATTTTCATAAGCATATTCCTTCTTTGCCTCGAGCTATTTGTGGCGTCGAAAATTCCTACCTGCATTCAGTAATGGATATTGTTATTGGAAACTCAGAAACAGGTACTGTTCATTAAAAATAACAGAAGACTTACCTGACCACCCTCTTGCATCCAAGCGGTCATATCTTCCATTGCAAGGGCTGCTACCTAGTAGCATGTGATGTATTAAAACTATGTGAAAAGAAGAAAGTTAATCCGACGAATAAATTAAGTGCAATGTAACTATAGGAGAGATTAATGATACACTAGAACTCAAAATTTTCTGCACATTAGCCCTAGAGACGATGTAACAATGAACTCTTACCATGACTACAACAACAAGAAGATTAGAAATTTCCTCAAATATTAACAGACAGACTGTAAATATATGGACCTATGGCCATCCAATATCCATATCTAAACCACAAAATCTAGAAAGTACCTTCTACAGCAAGATATGAAAGCAATTTATCCCTATCTACAACTCTTATAAAGTAGATATAACACAAGTCAAATGTTCTCCTAAAAATGAATGGTCCAATGACCAATTAATGGGTGCTGGATTGGCAATGGAGAATATTGATGCAAACTGAAAATTTCCCATGCATGGTATATGAAAAATCCCTATCCATATGTTCTATTCTCTGGGACGCCAGGAGGGGCTACTAAGATGTTGGGGCAGGGCAATCAAGAACCTGTCCATAATTGGATAGAGATTATAGATTACATGGGGAATGGAGCACTGTCAGGGAATTTTTTTCATAGCACTGTGCGGGGTCGGAGATAGGACTTCAAAAGTTTATACGTAATTTCTCATAACTTATCTGGGGTTTAGATTCAAGTTAGCTAGTGCACACCCTTACCTCTGCAAACCAGACCCTCTGACTCTTTCTTCATTCCACGTTTCTCAAAACAGATCACACCAGAGGACAACCCTCCACTCTCTTTCATTGATCTCTCCTGTCTCTCAAGACACATAAGAACACGTCTGACACTCCTTATGGTTCTTTTGGGACACAGAACAAAAAACAGAGAGAACATAAGAGAACCTTAATTTCCCAACAGAACACAAACACGAAAGGAGAGAAAGCCATCGTTATTGCTACTAGTTATGACTGAATCTCCCGGATTTCACTTTTTCTCTCTATCTTCCCCCATCCCTCTCTTTCCCAATCTCAAACCGATATTTAACCCCAGTTTTAAATCATGCTGAACAACAGACAAGGAAAGGGCAGACGGTGACCTCCTCTGACCACATTAGGGGGAGCCTACATCTCCATTTCAACAGCTCTATCTATCATGTTTGACATGCAATCTTCCTTGTCAACTTCCAATTAAAAATCCCAAAATCCACCTGTTTGCATATTAGCAAAATACACAAGCACGGAGCTGAATGTACTGCCCTTTTAAAGCTCAGCCTCTCATCTTACTGGTCTTGCCTCTTTCCTCTAAATCTTCCATTGCTTCAAGTGGTGTCATCCGACACTACTTCCCTGAAAAATACAATTAAATGTATATGTGTACATAATACACACATACACACACGATAGGCTAACACTGGTTGAAAAATAATGTAAAGTAAACATCAGTTCGGGATAGAAGTAAAGCCTTATTGAAACCCACCACCTCAAACCCAAACATGGTACTAGCTGAGTTCTAACAATAGGTAAGTGTCAAAATCCTATGTATGCCGTTGCCAATTTGATAACTGTGGAAACGACAGACTTAGTTGCTCGGATACGGGTACGGGTGTCCGACACGGGTACGGATCTAGAAGTCGGATCCTTCGAGATGTAAATTCTAAGATTCGGGGATACGGATCCTAGTACGGATACGGGTGCCGGGATCCGGCTAAAAATAATTCAAAAAAACAAAGATATAAAACATGTCTCTGAATTATGAGAAATTATGTGAAATACTTAAGTATAGATTGTAAATTGTGGATTTCTTTTTTATTCTCAAGTTGTAGATAAGTAAAGGATTGATTTCTTAGAAAATGTATGCTATTTTCTTCAACTTTACCCTAATTATTAGGATTCTGATTTCGGGAACCAAATTGTATCTCGTCTCGAATTTTCCGCCCGTCGTGATCAAAGTATCCGAAATTGTTTGACCAGATCCGGTACGGATCCCATACCCACACCCATACTAGTGTCGTGTCGACACGGGTACGGCACCTAAACTGCCATGTCGGAGCAACTTAGACGACAGAGAATAGAGGCCAAAATGGGGTCAATACTGGGATAGCATTTGGTATGCCTGCCCGGTCACTGCCTCATTGCCACTCCTACTTAAGATGATTTCAGGCTTCTAGCAAACAGACAATAAAAAAAACCCTATTCTTTTTCTTTATGCTGATAGACATTACCTCATTGCGAGCCTCCAAGCCTTCTGGATTGTCACCTCGGAAGAAATCAGCAGACTGCATCAACAAGATACACAAGAAAAAGAAGTTTCACAGTTTCTATTTCAATTAATATGAACTTATAGCTCCAAGAGGGAAAAGATCCAATAAGTCATCACCAAGACATATGTAGTTGCTTCATCACAATGTGTAGAAAGGTAGAAAGTAATAGCACCAAAAAGAAGAAAATGTCAAGGATGACAACAACTGGTAAAATTCATTCAAGAGTTGAGTTTTCAAGGATAGCTACAAGTGAATCATCTATCAGTCTGACGAACAACGAAATCAAGTACAGAAACAGTTTTGACAAGCAACATATGACAAATTCCTCTAAAAAGGAAGATTGTTAAATTGTTTCATTTCCAGAAATTGTCATGACAAAAAAAAATGAATTGGGACATCTAGATGAAAACCGGTTTTATCCACAAGGCCCACCTGTACGAGCATGTTTCAGTTGTTTTACATTTAGAATTAGAGATTTCTCACTTCTATAAACATTTGTCAATTTTAAAATATTTTATTATTATTCCGGAAGTGAGGCATATAGGTAACTTTGTGTTCTCCAAGAATCATGGAGGAAGTTGTTTAATGTTCTCTAACAGGCCCTCATCCACCTTGAATCACCATAGTTCACTTACCCTTAAAATCTAACTCTTCATATAAATTGTAGCAACTAGAGTGCTCATGGAAGCCTCTAAGCACAAATGCTCTCCAAACACTATTTGGCAAGAGCTGCATAAAGGCCAGTAATTACATTTAGGATATTAACCAAATATTGGTAAGCATTTAGGATATTAACCAAATGTTGGTAAGGCCCAGCAGGAGTTGCACAAACTTACTAACGATGCCTTTTTCAAGTTCGGGCTTCTCTCATAATTTTTACATGGTAGTACAGGTCCGAACAGTTGATAATTTCTGAGTACAACACATTCATTTCATCTCCCAAGAATTTTCCTTCCTCGGAAGAAATTGTTCCTAGGAGTTTTGGATTAGATTCCAACACCTTCCTCCATGGTTCTTCTTAGTCTCTGCTGTTATGTTGTAATAATGCCAAGCAGTCCCAAAATCTTCTCTGGGACTCTTCCCTATGATACCATGAAAGCTCAATACCTTTTTCTGTTCTTTCCACCACATAACAAACCCTATAATACTATTTTCATGCTCACAATTAGGCATGACATCCTTCAAATTTGTTCTATATCAGCACACTACTAACAAATGTAAGGAATATAAGCGGCCACTTTATCTTATCTCGGTGGCTTCAAAATATAAGCCCAGTAGTGAAATTAGAAAACAGTGCAACAAAAGCAGCATGCCCAGCATCTGGACTGTAAGGCATCCTTGAGGTTGAATTCTTTAATATCTTATTGGGGGAAATGATTTTTCAACTTTATAGATCAGAGTAAAGTAAATCAGCATGCAGAACCTACTACCAGGAATAATTTAGAATTTCTGCATTTTGTGCATGAATGTCTGCACATGTTGTATATTTTCTACAAAAAGGATGTCCAAGGACTACTACGTTTTGTCTCTACTCTCTTCAGAACATAAAATTTTTAGATCTCTTGATACAATTGCTAATTGTAGTACCAGTTCTTTTCCCCCTTCTTTTTTTTATGTGGGGGGGGGGGGGGGGATATATGAGACGGCAGTTCTTTTTGACTGGAGCAATTTAGAAAAACAGTTCAATTCAGGCAATTAAACTACCTGGTTACTTCCGTGCTTGAGTCGGCGGTACTGTCACAGAAAAGGAGTGGTTAGTTTCCTTACTTTTGCAAATTTAGAAAGACATTGAAGAACAACTGCTATAATTTACCTTCCCAACATTGAAGTGCTTGGTATCATGACCTAACCATCGAAGATACCTAGTTAGCTTAGCAGCAGTAAAAGTTTTTCCACGAGCTGGTAAGCCAACCTGCAGGCAGCATATGTAAATCCTAAGATCATTTGTTGCATAAGATACTACTCCAAGAATAAGGAAAGTCAATTCAAAGCTAATTAGTGCTTATCAGTTCTTCATCAGAAAATGAAAATACCAAAACGATTGCTAGATGCCTGTCTTCCTTTGGCCCAAGCATCTGATCTGCTACAGCTCCAGCCGCAACGGCTCCTGCAGCAGCTGGCATCATATTCTAAAAATTAAAAAGAAAGATATATCAGATGTGTAAACCACGCCACAGCAGAGATTTTATTACAGTATTCATCACAATGGACACATTAGATTTCTACACACCTTGGCATCTGAATCAGGCTTGAGATCAAGAGTAAAACTGGTTATACTGGGTGATTTGACTAGTCTAGGAGATCCCACACCTCTATCTACAAGGAGTCCTCTGTAACTATCTTGTTTTTGCAAAGACGAGAACGTTCCCACGGACTTGGATTCAGCCATGGCAGACCCTGAGGGCATTCTACTTAGATCTGGGACAATCACTTCCATCTCCTGAATGATAAAAAGACGGCACAATGTGAATCAAGTGCAGTTCCTAACCTATGAGGTACAATTTAAAGCAAATGGTAATATACTTAGAACAATAAGAGCAAAAGGTTGGCAAAGTAAGTAGGGAGAACATCAATAACATAATATGCATGTCACCAGCAAATGCGATACCTGTCATACATAACATGGGATATAATTTTAAATAGCGTCTACGATTGGTCATATGATCACCACATACAGATGCCTATTACACAAGAATTTTAGTTGGGGATGAAAAAGATGAAGTGCTAGAGTTGAATAGCTTTATCATTTTACTGACTATGATAATGATCACTATCATGTACAAAAGATATGCTAATGTTGAAGTCGCTTAAATTATGGGAATGCATTACAGTTAAACACTTAATCAAGAAAAAAAAAAGGAAGAATTAGCAAAACTCTGAATCTCAGTGCACTTTGGGGGTTTATTATGTTAGATAAGAATGGAACAAAAACAGAAACAAAAGGCACCAAGAGAACCTTTATTGTAGCAGGACGATCATTTGAAGTGTGACCATCCTTTGAGGAAGGCCTAGGAATGGTAGTGCCATCTGTCCCAGAAAATACCCCTGTACGTTTTAGTGACCTGGGAGTTTCTGTCAAGTTAGCTGCGTAAACCATTGCAGATGTTGTTGGAGCAGGGACAACATAATGTTCAAGATCAAGCTCTAGACTAGCTGAAGAGCCACTCTGTCGAGAAAAATTGTTTAAAATGTAATTAATAGTATTAAGGCATATATGACAAACATATCCAACAACCGGAATTTATAGAAGACAGGCCCTAGTAAGCAATATTCATCCACAAGCATCAGCAGAAGCTAAAAACATGATCAATTTGACCAATAGACAATAGAGAACAATGAGGAGCACGGATTAAAAACACAAAGTCCAAAAGTTTCCTCAAAATACACATATACTAACAAACATGCATAGGCTAAGCATCTATATTCAAATTTAAACCTATTGAATATCAAAATCTGCAACCCCATAATGCTCATAACCAAAGTAAGTTTTCCGTCTTTAGTTGTACGACATTTATTGATCCAATAGCATGTACGTAGAACAGTTTATCGCATTTGCTCCAAATGAAAATGCACAACGCACCTGGCTCCAAAAATGTTTGACAAACACTAATTGACATGGAGAAACCACCAACAAGATAGTAAGGACAGGCTTCTAGCATGAAGGTTTATAAAGCAGCACTTATGATTAGCAGTCTAACTGACAATGGCAACACCTTACCTCTGCGCCCATCGCTGGTGTTGAGTTTATGCTAACATCCGGTATTCCTCGAACAGTGGAAGGCTTGCGATTTTCCTGAAAGGCTCTCCAACTAGCCGCAAGGTCAAATGGTGAAACTCTATCTGCTTTAACAAACACTCTATATTCAATAATCTCTTCGTTGTCCAGCTTAAACGAAGCTGAATGGCCGTCCCCTTGTAATGTTCCAGCAATTAGTACACGGTTTTGACCTTCTTCCACTATATAAGGCTCATGGTTGTATTTTGGCTTCAACAGGAACTTAAAGTCCAACGTCTCTTCATAAAGAAAAGTCAATTGATCAACAACTCCTCAATCTCAAGCTAGTTGAGGTCGGCTATATTAATCCTCCTATATCAATAGGATTTAAGTTATATGCACCGAAAGTGTAACGATTCTTTAAACTATCAGGTTAACTTACCTATAGTAGCAGGTGCCTTACTTTCAATATTACAAATCTCACCTTTTATGGAGTCTTAGCGGTAGATATCTTTTGATTGACTTAATAGTGAAAAGAAAATGTACACCATCAGGGCAAAGTATTTAACAAGTTAAATGCACTGATACTGTCTAAAGATTCTTCTACACTATTAGGTCACCTTACTTGTTGCAGTAGGTAACTTGACTTACCCTCACTATTAGAATCTCATTTTTTGACGACTACCCATACATATCTATCTTTTGATTGATCCTGATAGTGTAAAAGTTTTGTTTACACCGTCAGTGCATAGTTACTTTGGAGGGGGAAAGGGCAATTCCATGAAATCAACGAGTTGAAGAAAATAACAAAAGGAGCAAACCGTGATTAGGAGGAACGACGAAACTGAGTTCCCACATAGAGGTGGATTCGCGTTCCATGGGAAGCTGAAGATGAAAAATGAAATTGGCATTAGAATTAGTAAATACCAGTAGTTCAAATTGGGGAGTAAAAAATCAGAGCTGCTTAATAAAATGTACAGCTTTAGAAGAATCCCAGGAACCAATGAGGGGGACAGAGCCATAGACATGAGGAATGAGTTCGCCTTTGAGTTTGTAATTTTCCATTTTGAGAGAGACGTAGAGTTGTCCTCCTCCATGGTCCTCGCTGCCATGTGAACTAGAGTCTGGGTTCTTTGATGAACCTGTGCCCATTTTGCTCAAGCTAAAAAAACTTGTAAAAAAATTCTTAATAAATGTACTATATTATAATTATAATTATTATAATAATAAAAATAATGGTGAGTTGTGGATAGGTTAAGAGAGACGGAGATTGCAAGATGTGGGAGAAACAAAAAGAATGGTTGGTTGACTTTTTTCCTGTTTCGATAAGAATGGAGTGGGGCGGAAAAAAGGCGATGTTACTCAACTCGGATAATAAATTAGACTTGTAGGTTAACAATAAATTGGAATATGCAGGTTCAAATCTATCTAATTTGGGTCGTATAAAATAATAAAAATGAGATAAACGTATCTTTTGCTAATAGATTGGAGTTGCAGAATGATGATTGCAACTCCAATCTGGATTAATGCAGCTTCAAATCTATGCAGGTTTTCCCCTCTTCCTCTTTATTCACAGTTATATGCCTCTCCGTAGGAATTACTTCTTGTTTAAAAGAGAATGACGGTATTCTGGCCAAACAATAATAATTTTTTTTGTCTTAATTTACCATTAACTAGTATTAGTACCCGTCAAATATTTAAGTTATTTGGATTGTATATAAATAATCTTAAGAACACATAATGTAAATTAAAAAAATATTCGAAGATATCTTTATCTTATAATCTATGTATTTAAGTTGAAAAAAATATTTGAAATCGATGAGATTAACTTTCAAATTTTTTATACTCAACAAAGATGAAACATAAGAAGAAATTTGTTGTCATCTTTTATTTCTCATTTTTAGATCTTTCTAATATTTTTTTCAATATTTATTTTCTTTTATCTTATTTTTTATGTCATTATTTCTTTTGTTACGAAAAATTAATTTATTTCACTATAAAAGGATGAGTTCTACATATGAACTTTAATTATATTTTTAGTCTTTGGTTGAAATTATTTCATATTTTTCTTTTGGCTTTATCTAATCAGCCTAAATAGGCGCTCACCCAACCACTTAAATTAAAAATATTGAATGATGTGTAATTTATATATAATCCATATATAATATGTGTATAATCATGTGTTGTCCGTATATCATCTATTTATATTAGCTATTAAAAGTAAAGAATAAATATAATCGGATATTATGTAAATATTCCATAAAATTTTGATTTTTTTGAGTTTATCCATGATATAACTTCTATTAAAATAATTTTAAAACCCTCTACTAATTTTCAAAAATATCTTATCTTTGAATTAAAAAAAAGTAAAGAGTTTTTTCGAAATAATTTGTTTACATTTTAAAAAAAAATATTTCACTTCATACCAATTTTTTCTTTATATATACTCTTTGTTACACTTAAAAGTCGCTATAGAAACTATCAAGTAGAAACCAGTTTATCTCTTGTTGAGTTTTAAAAAAAAAACTTTCACATAATCTAATGATTCAAAACTAATATTCTTCAACGAAAAAAATATTATACTCTTGCAATATTGGCTTGACTACAGCTAAATGAGGGGGTTTCAGCTTATACCCTTTCATTTCGGGGTCATACATCTTTGGTCCTTATGTACTGTACTTGAGGTATAGCGGGGGCCTTTTTGCCGTCACTTTTGTAGTACCCTTTTGTATATATTTAGAGGCTCCGTAGACACTATGTGAGTTGTATATAGGTGTTGGAAAGGTCAACGGATTATATTGTGTTTTAGGCTATTGCTCCACTCAATCATAAGAATGTGTGTATTTCGAAACTTAACAATGATGTAACTAATGAAAAGATTTATTAATATATATATGACCTTCCTAAGGTTTAATTGATAAAAGCATGCCCTCTCTTAATCATACGTGAGTCGGGTAAAAAGTGTCGAATAGGCTTGCTCAGCCGGTTCACTCAATTGAGCGTTGGCCGCGCTCCCGAGTTTGGGGCATGACAAAATTTATATATTATAAATTTTGTCATGCCCCAAACTCGGGAGCGCGGCCAACGCTCAATTGAGTGAGCCTCTAAATATATACAAAGGGGTACTACAAAAGTGACGGCAAAAAGGCCCCCGCTATACCTCAAGTACAGTACATAAGGAACCAAAGATGTATGACCCCGAAATGAAATAGGACTCGCCAAGACTGCTGGGAGGAGGATGGACCGCTAACGATGATTAACACCGCCTGCTATGGAACCACCTGCATTTATTTAAGACGCAGCGCCCCGGCAAAAGGGACGTCAGTACCGTTGAATGGTACTAGTATGTACAACTAAACACTATCTCATTAGAATGAACAATAATACAAGAAGAAGATAATCATAAAATCAATAAAAGCCTTAAACAACACCATAACATCAAATTAAGAATCACATAAGTTTTCAAGTAAATTTCCATAACTTTAGATTGGGACATCTTTAATACTAATACACCATCATCCACAATACCACCGCATTCTTACACGGAATCCGATCACAACCCGATCGGCTAGGTCGTCTCATTTGAGACATCAACCATAATCATAATTTCATTGTCAAATTCTTATTTCAATTTCCAGCACAATTACCACTACGTATGCGGCATAGTGTCCACTCACGGCCCGACCGGCTAGGCCGTCTCGCCCGAGACATTACCATTTTCTATCAATCATCTCATTTCATACTTCTTTCATGTTTTTTCAGTCCATCGGCACTAGTGGCCACAATTGTTATATCATACTTGGCACCTGGCCGCATTTCATAATCCAAGTTCTTTTCCACATTTCACGTTATTATTATCATCAACAACCACAACAAGGCTTTTCATTCAATACTTTGCTTACACATGTGAGCAATTTAAAATCTAAGACGCATAGACACAATTTGGCATAACAATCTTTATTCAAATTTGACTTGCAGCCTAGGCATTGTTTTTGCAAATATTCCATATTTTTAACATATCCTCAAATGGTAAGATAACATGATGAAATCATTGGAATACACATTGCACATATATTCTTCAACGCAAACACATCCGAGATAACAAATTCTATAATGATCAATTCGGAACTTACACTGATTGCATGAATGCCATGGGGTTCAATTCTACGAAGAGGAGGTTTTAGCCATACATACCTCAATTGAGCTTCTTTAAACTCTACAATTATCCGGAACTCTTAGCAACCTCAATTTATTTTAGCAATATAATAAATTGAACCAAAAAAATAGGAAAACGTTCATGGTACTAGCTCACTTGAGCATTTTATCAAACACTAAGTGTGTATTAAGATTTCAAGGTCCTTTTTATGGAAGGTTTCATCATACCACAACCCATTCATCACCATTTTTAGCTCACATTTTCCCTACACTCTTTTATCATACATGCATGCAAGATAAATAACTCTCATACGCATGAACCATCTTATTAATTACTCATTTTTAATTAATTTTCGAAATTAAGGGCTAGGGTATAGATTCTTACCTATAGGATGAAGACCTAGTGTGATTTCCTTGATAATCTTCAAAGTTTGAGCAAGAATTGAAGAGTAATTTGATGAAGATCACTTTCTCACTCTAGAACTCTTTCTATCACTCTAAAGTATCAGAAATATGCTCAAAATGAATTATGGCATATGTTTTATCGACATAGGATCAGATTTAAAAATTAGTAATGAGGAGCCCCGACACAAATCTGCGGTCGCATATGCGACCGCATAATATATCTACAGTCCGCAAAATGGCCCTCCGGAACTGAAATTTTCTGCTTCGGTCTGCGACCAGTCTGCGGTCCGCATACCTGTTCTACGGTCACATAATGTGCCACAGAACCACCATTTGAGAAATCTCGAGGCTGGATATGCGATCAAATTGCGGCCCACAAAATATTTATGTAGTCGCATAATGGGCCGCAAAAGTGACATAAAAAATGACCCAAATGACTGCCTCGCTTTGCAGCCTTTCTGCGGCCCACAAAGTGATTCTGTAACCGCATAAAGGCAGCAGAAATGCCTTATTCTACCAACATTTTTCTTTAACTCCTCGATGCACTGTTAAATCCAAAAGGTCTATACCGCGGCGAGCTAGAACCTCAATAATCTTTAACACATAAGCCTAACTCGACACCTCGAAACTTCGCGTTTTAAGCAAAATTTTAGGGGGCATTAAAAATTTCTTAATTGCTTAAATAAAATGTATATATATATATATAACTAAAAGGTAATAAAAGTAATATTAGCAAGTTATTAAAAATTAAATTGGAAGATTAAAATAGTATCCACAATTGTGTCAATTGTTTTTGTTCTAGGTTTTTTGTCTATTATTAAAAGCAGTTAATGATGAGTAGGTTAAGCATAATTATCATTTCCAATCCCACCACATAAAATGAAATGTATGAGCATTATTTTAAGGAAAAACGCTAGTAAATTTTCTAAATTTCGTATTTTATGTCACAGCATTATTTTAAGGAAAAACGCTAGTAAATTTTCTAAATTTCGTATTTTATGTCACGCCCCAAACATGGGAGGCGTGGCTGGCACTTGGTGACGTACTGGTCCGAGTAAACCATTGTGTAGCTCATTCTTTCTGTGATCATCGTGGGCCAACATGGCAACAACTCGTAGTGCATAATTGTAAGTGAGCGAACACTCTATCAATAAACTATCGTTCTTAAAACATGAATACATATGGGCCGTCAAGGCCTTTGACATACTGTACAAAATGAATACAAAGCCTCTAAGATTATTTGACATCAAATGGGACAGGGTACCGGCCTACCCATAAATCTGTAGCAAAACTCTGACATGATGACTTATAGACTTGGCTGCACTCCGAATAAGATGGAGTTTTATCGATCCTTCGTTGAATGTTGACCTCGTCTAATATGAGGGCTTGTCAAACTGATTGTCTATACCTGCGGGTATGAAACGCAGCGTCCCCAACAAAAGGGACGTCAGTACGAATAATGTACCGAGTATGTAAGGCACATAAATAAGTATATAAAAGACATGGAAGAAACATGGAGTAAATAACTTAACCAATAAGTCTGGATAATTCTATAAATCATGAAATACTTATAGTGTCATGCATATGCGTATGAATTTCATGTCGGCATAGGTACATGTGTTCATAACATCATCAAGTCTCTGAGGGCATCCCATCATATCATTTCAGCCACTGTGGGCAAAATCATCAACGTATACCAGCTGATCAGGTGGTGGTGCGTATATAATACCGTAACATTTTCCCATATCCCATATACATATAATATACATATATACGCGTATAACGCCATCGGGTCATGGGTCAATGTACATGTATAGATGAATGCAATGCATGAGAAGTACGTCAATAAAATTTCTCGGAACGTCATAAGACCATTATGCCTTTGATTAATATCATGAAATAAACTTTATCAACTTACGTATGTATAAGGCCCATGAACAGATGATAGAAGGCAAAATACATAGTTTACGCATCGACCTTGCAAC